CTTGAGGTTGAGACGAGCTTGTGGAGGCTGAAGCCCCACACACATTTCCTCCCTCACTTGCATTGCATGCATTTTACTGTTAAGCTGAGGCTTTGTCTGTTTTGGTGTATCATTGACATGATCCCTTAGGACTCTCATTTCTTCTGATGAGGATTTGATGATAGACTTTTAGGTTGAAACCTATGCATGACAACTTCTAGGAGTTCCCTGTTCAAACCTCAACCATAGGATGAATCCATGGCATGATAACAGTAGGACTTGATAGTCTCCCTCCTAGTTGGGTCTGTTCTCTTCTCATCTCAAAGCAGTTTAAGATACAGTAATCATGAATGATTTCTTTCGTACGTTACGAGCCTTAAGCTATCTGAGGTGGGATGTTTAGTATGGTACCTTTGGGCGACATGCGACGCATTCACTCTCAGGTCATAGTCTCTAGTGCGGTTGAGATCGCAAACACAATAAAAAACACTTCTCTCAGGAAATAACCCGTAGTTTCCCGAACTACGTTTGCTCTGATCTTCCATGCTGTGTGGAAGTACGTAGGCATAGGACGCGACGTCCTAGCGAGCAACCTTCAACCTTTCCCCCGTAATCCTTCGTAGGCCGAACTACGTTGACTCTGATTTCTCATTCTCTGATGAGAATACGTAGGCATAAAGTGCGACGCTTTGCCGAGTCATTTTTCTTTTCTTTTTCAGCCAGCCTTGATAGGTAGATAGATTATAACCAACCCGTCCAAGTAAGCAAACAAGCGAGGATCCCGTCGAGTACGACGGACGTGAGGGGTGCTAATACCTTCCCCTTACGTAACCGACTCCCGAACCCAGACAATGGTTGCGATGACCTTGTCTTACCCTTATTCGTCAGGTTTTTCTAATTGTTTCCTTTCCCGTTCTGAGGGATAAATAACGAAAGGTGGCGACTCTTCTGTCATGCCGGCACCTTATTTTCGCGCAAGCGACAAGGGGTACTAGACTAAAATTCAAAGGGTCAAAAGAAAATTGAAAGAAAGTGCAAAAGTTGAACTACAAAACACTTCATTCACTTTCAAACAACAACTTTGCCACTATTTCTCTTCTCTTTTATTTTTTTTTTCTCTTTTTTTTTTCTAGAAGGAATATGTATTGACATCCTTCTCTTCTTTTTTCATTTTTTTGTTTTTCTTTTTCTTTTTCTTGCCAATTTTTTGAATTAAATAACACAACTATAATTATTTAACCCCACACAACTTCAAACAAGACTCTTTCAATCCCTTAAGTAGGGTGGCAACATTGTTTTTCACTTTTCGATTTGTAATGATTTTTAAACAAAGAATGGGATAAATAGGCTCAAGGGATGGTATTATTCAGGGTTGGCTTTTTGGCTAACTGACTAAAAAAATAAAAGAAAAACAAGTTATCTTTATCATATCAGTGTGCACAAGTAAACAAAAAGTTTCAACAAAAGTCAATTCAAGTTCTAGAGTGGCTAACAAACATGAGTGAAATTGTACAAGACGAAACAAATGAATTTTTGTATGTTATCCATTAAAAGGCTAGTGAGTGCAACTTTCCGTTAGATTATTTTTTATGATGTCAAATAGGTCGGCATATGACTTACATAGGTCGACTTATGTAACGTATTTTTCCTATACAGGTCGACACATGCATCGAATCGGTCGACATATGACTTACATAGGTCGACCTATGCAACGTATTTTTCCAAAAACTCATGATTTTTTCAAATCTCTTGCATTCTCTTTTGCCTCCAAATTGTGCGGGCATGCACACGCTCGCACGTACACGCGCACACACACACATATAACGTATTTTTCCAAAAATTCATGATATTTTCAAATCTCTTGCATTCTCTTTTGCCTTTAACTTACGCGCGCGCACACACACATACACACAACTTGCATGATTATTGTGATAAACATGGCATTAAGCATAATTTTTCCACTCCAAGAACTCCATAACAAAATGGTGTTATGGAGCGCAAAAATCGTGTTTTAGAGGAGTTGGCTAGAACTATGCTTAATGAAGGTAATCTACCTAAGTATTTTCAGGCCGATGCCATTAGCACGACATGTCATGTCTTAAATACAATACTAATACGTTCTATTTTAGACAAAACTCCTTATGAACTACTAAATGGTATAAAACCAAATTTATCGCATCTTCATGTTTTCAGATGCAAATGTTTTGTTTTAAATAATGGAAAGGATAATCTTGGAAAGTTTGATGTGAAAGTCGATGAAGGTATCTTCCTTGAATATTATCAATCGAGCAAAGCTTATAGGGATTATAATAAAATATTACTTATTGTTAAAGAGTCGGTACACATCACCTTTGATGAATCTTATCCGAAAAATGTCAGGAAAGGTGTTTCTTTTCATGATGTAGGTGTATCTTCTTAAGATATTCTCAAAGAACCCGAAGAAGGAACTGATTAGCCTAAATAGGTGGAACTTGAGAAAGAAGAAGATGGCGATTGTGAAAAGGAGAAGGATGAAAGTCCACCTGCACTGGACAACCTTCCTTTGGCTCGGAGAATCTCCAAGGATCATCCAATCAATAACATACTTGGAGACATCACCAAAGGCGCGACAACACACTCTAAGATAAGTAACTTCTGTTATCACTTTGCTTTGTTTCACAAGTTGAACCTAAAAACGCGAAAGACACCCTACTTGATTAGCATTGGCCTATGGCCGTGCAAGATGAATTAAACCATTTTATAAGGAATGATGTATGGGACTTTGTCCCTCATCCGCGAGATCATCATGTCATTAGAACTATGTTGGTTTTTAGGAATAAACTCGACGAAAACTGAGTGATAACTAGGAACAAAGCTTGGCTAGTGGCTCAAGGTTATAACCAAGAGGGGGTATTGACTATGAGGAAACTTATGCTTTTATTGCTCTCCTCGAAACTATACACCTTCTACTAACTTATGCTTGCTCCAAAGATTTCAAGTTATATTAAATGGACGTAAATAATGCTTTCCTTAATGAATATATTAATGAGGATGTGTATGTTTCACAACCTCCCGGTTTTGAAAATCACGAGTATCCTAATCATGTTTATAAACTAAAAATAACTTTATATGGCCTCAAGCAAGCCCTTAGGGCTTGGTTGGGAGACTTAGTAAGTTCTTAATCGGTCAACGATACTCTAGAGGGAAGGTAGATACTACACTTTTCATTAAGCGTCAAGAAAAACATATTCTTTTAGTTCAAGTTTATGTTGATGGTATCATTTTCGGTTCCACTAACATGCAATTACTCAAGGAGTTTTCTAAACTTATGCAGGGTGAGTTATACTGGTAATTTAAATTAAAGGTAAGTTAGATTGATTAGTGGCTTAGTGAACAATTTATCATGAATTGCAAAAATCATGTTATGAGCATGCCTTTAGCTAATGGTGCATTTCCTTTATGTTGGACGTGATGGAAGTATGTACTACCATGAGCATTTGTTTGTATTCCAAATGCTATGTTGATGTTATTGTATCGTGATGTTGCATGTTAAGCAGTTGGCTTAGTGCAGGTACTTGTGGCAGTGCAAGTTTGGTGATTGGACATGGTGCATGGCATACATGATTTTGGACATGGAACGGACATAAAGTTCAAGACATGGTGCAACAACTTGAAGACAACATGAAGACATGGTGAAGCTGAAGATTAGAGAAAATGGGCTTAGGATAAGTGTGGTCACATTTTGGTCAATTGTTTGACCAAAAGTCAATTGTAGGTCAAACTTGGATTTTTTTCATGTATTCTTCATTTTATTTGTCTATTCTCTTGTATTTGAATATTGAAATCTTGACTTGTATATGGATTGACTTGCTTTTCAAGTAATAAAATACTTTTAAAGTGAATGTTAAAAATCAAATATGATGATCATCGGAACTTCTCATAACCCAACAATGATATTAGAATAAAAAATGGTGGTACAAATAGATAAGAATAAAAAAAGTTTCAATTTGATGGGAATATATTCATGAATATACTCACACTTAAACGAAAGATTGTTAAAATATCAAATAAGTATAAGTCTATCGTTCAACACTTTATAAATAAAATAGCTAATACACTTAATAATTTAAAATTCTAGATTAATATATAGTGTCCAACCCATTAAAAAAAAAAGGTGTTTAAAGTCCAAATCTCAAACACGTTAACCTCTCCTAAATATAACACTTGAATTAATTTAATCTCACTTTTTACTATGTGGCAAAATGTAAGTGAAGTTTAGTTAGATTTTTTATTGTTAATATCTTTTTTTTAAAATAAATATTTGCAGAAAAAATCATAATAACTCGAATTCAAATTCTAAATTCAATAAATATCTTCATAATCAAACCAATGTGACACAATTGTATAAAGACTATTGATATATCAATTAAATTGCATGCTTCAAACATATTTTTTATTATTAAAGATATAAATTTTCTATTAAAAAAAATGTATAATGACACACAACAAATGGAATGAATCCCAATCCCACAAGTAAGAATTATTGAATTACAAATTAGGATACACTTCCCTATTGTGCCTCCGCTAATTAACTAGCATTATTCATTAATCAATTGTTCTTAAAATAGAGATTCATATGCACCACATAAGCCATAGAAATCAACTAGAGTTTCCATTTGAAGTGGACAACCACTAAAACAAAGCCAACATCTACTTTTCCTCTCCCAAGAAAAAAAAACACAAATGATTTTCTTCTCATTCTTCCATCCTCTCAATTTCCCTCTTTCAAAGTCATCAATCTCACCCAAATCACATATGTTGTTTTTTCCATGCAAATTTTTTTAACAATATTGCATGCATAATATTCAACTTGTTCATGCCTTGTTAATAATAAGGCAATGCATTTTTTGAATCATATCAAAAAAGTGTCTAACATATACAATGGAATTAAATATAAGAAGAAGTGAAAGTGATGACAAAATATAGATCTATATAGATACATATACAATAAGTGATTGTATTGAGAGAAAAAAAAAACAAAAATGGCAATTTTAAAGAACTTAACTGTTGATGAAATGGTGTGCTATTCACCAACTATGATAACAACAAATGGGATATGGCAAGGAGATAACCCTTTGGATTATGCTCTTCCTCTCTTCATCCTTCAAGTTATTTTAGTTGTTGTTGCCACGCGAATCTTCGTCTTTGTACTCAAGCCTCTTCGCCAACCACGCGTCATAGCTGAAATTTTGGTTAGTTTTTTTTATCTATATACTGCCAGTGTAAAAAGTTGACGATAAATCATATTTACACTAAGATATTTTTGTTTGATATATATGTTATGTTGTGTGTTGCAGGGAGGGGTAGTGTTAGGTCCTTCTGTTCTTGGAAGAAACAAAACATTTGCTGATGCGGTTTTTCCTCTGAGAAGTGTGATGGTGATTGAAACAATGGCAAATGTTGGTCTTTTATATTTTCTATTCTTGGTTGGAGTAGGGATGGATGCGTCTGCAATAAGAAGGATGGGTAAAAAATCAGTCACCATAGCAATTGCTGGTATGGTGTTACCATTCGGAACGGGAGCGCTATTTTCGATCTTTCTGATGAAAGAGAATGAGAAAGCCGCAAATGGAAGTGCTTTTGTGTTAATTCTTGGTGTTGTTCTTTCTGTCACTGCATTTCCTGTTCTTGCTAGGATCCTTGCAGAGTTGAAACTGATCAACACGGAGTTGGGAAGGGTTGCTCTTTCAGCTGCAATCATCAATGATGTTCTGTCATGGATGCTTTTGGCTATAGCTATTGCTTTAGCGGAAGATGAAAGAATTTCTGTGGCTTCTATAATGGTTGTTTTGTCGAGTGCTGCATTTGTTGCCTTTAATGCTTTTGTTGTAAGACCGATAATCATGTGGATAATAAGGAAAACGCCAGAAGGCGAATCGTTTAGCGATTTCTATATATGTTTGATTCTAGCAGGAGTGATGATATCAGGTTTCATCACAGATGCTATTGGAACTCATTCAGTTTTCGGTGCTTTTGTGTTCGGTTTGATTATTCCATCTGGTCCACTTGGTTTCGCGCTTATTGAAAAGCTTGAGGATTTTGTTTCTGGCCTTTTGCTTCCTCTCTTTTTCGCAATTAGCGGATTGAAAACCAATATTAGTCTCATCATCGGTGTTACTAAATGGGCTATTATACTCATTCTTGTTATTTTGGCTTGTATTGGTAAAGTTGTTGGAACTTTGATTGTTGCTATTAGTTATCAAATGTCACTTTCTGAAGGTGCTGCTCTTGGCATGCTCATGAACACGAAAGGCCTTGTTGAAATTCTTGTTCTTAACATCGGTCGAGATCAAAAGGTATCTATTTATAGCTGTTGGTTCAGGGTTCAATCTGTGTATTGTGTACTGCTCGATGCGTATGAATTGATTAATCTAAACTAATGAATTCGTCGCAGGTTTTGGATGAGGAGGCGTTTGCGACGATGGTGGTTATAACAATACTAATGACTGGAATGATTGTGCCTGCAATATCAATTATATATAGACCATCAAGAGGAATGATATCTTACAAAAGAAGAACGATTCAAATGTCGAAAAAAGATGCAGAGTTTAGAGTACTAGTGTGTATTCATACCCCAAGAAATGTTCCAACAATGATAAACCTCCTTGAAGCCTCAAATCCAACTAAAAAATCACCAATATGTACCTATGTGCTTCATTTGGTTGAACTCACAGGTCGAACATCGGCGTTACTCATTGTTCATACATCGAAAAAATCAGACCACACTGCTCTCAACAGAACCGAAGCTCAATCGGATCACATAATCAACGCCTTCGAAAACTACGAACAGCACGCGGAACATGTATCAGTCCAACCATTAACAGCAATCTCCCCTTACTCCACAATGCACGAAGATATATGCAGTTTAGCCGAAGAAAAACGCGTCGCGTTTATAATCATCCCTTTTCATAAACAACAAACAGTGGACGGAGGAATGGAAGCAACAAACATGGCGTTTCGTACGGTTAACCAAAACGTGTTAGCGAACTCGCCTTGCTCAGTTGGAATTCTAGTAGATAGAGGCTTAAACAGTTCAAACCGTTTAGTTGCCGATCAAATGTCGCATCATGTAGCAGTATTGTTTTTCGGAGGACCAGACGATAGAGAAGCGTTAAGTTACGGTTGGAGAATGTCGGAACATTCTGGAATAAGCCTAACCGTAATGCGTTTCGTTCCTGGAGAAGACACGGCCATGAGCGAAAATAGTTCTAGTCATAACAATAATGCAGATAAACAGAGAGTTCTAACAGTCGAAACAGACGTGGACGAAGAAAACGATCAACAACTCGATGAGAGATTCTTACATTGGTTTATGATGAGCCATGTAAACGACGATTCAATAGCTTATATGGAAAAAGTTGTGAACAACGGGGAAGAAACGGTAGCGGCGATAAGGTCAATGGGAGATGTTTTTGGACTATTTATAGTTGGGAGAGGACAAGGAGTAATATCACCACTGACAGCAGGACTTACTGATTGGAGTGAATGTCCTGAGTTAGGTGCAATTGGTGATTTGTTAGCATCTTCTGATTTTGCAACAGTTGCATCGGTTTTGGTGGTTCAACAATATGTTGGTGCTGGTTTAGAAGATGGATCGGTAACACCTGTGTTAAATGAAGAATATGGTGGTGGAAATCAATCAAGTTATATGCCACCAAGGGGGAGTCAATCGGTTGCATCACCAAGGGGGAGTCAAGCTGTTTTTAGTACAGAAAGGTGTTGATTTTGATTTTGGTTTATGTATTCTGGTGTGGTAACAGAGTAGTTTTAACTAACTTTTTTTTTTCATTTTTGAATTGGGTCTTCATGGTAGTAATTGTTTACTTTTGCAACTTTTGTACAAAATGTACATACATATGTACAATTTCATTGTTCAATAGTATATTCTTTTAGGTGAATATAAGTGAATTTTATGTAGTTATTGCCTTGAGGCTATGATAACACATTCCTCAACGAAGAACTCAATTTAGATGTCAAATTTTTTATATTATCTTGAAGAAGTTAGCCAAAGCTATTGGTCTGTAATCCTTCATCCTGTATGCCCCTTGTTGTCCTAGGTACAAGAATAATAATGTTAGATTTGAGCTTGTCTTGGATCATGCCTGAGTTACATCATTGCCTATAATCTCCCATTAGCTTTCGTGGAAATGACCCCAGAACCATATGGCATTCATAACAAATATAGTTTGTTTAATCTCTTGTTGGGAAGGTATCCAGTTGTTTATTATCTTATTGCGTAGTCTCTTGAGATACATTCTCCTGAATTAGCCAATTTGGTGTACATTACATTGAACTTAGTACGTGAATATAAACGGTAGGCGGTCAATGGTCAGATCAATAGGCTCTGATACCATATTAAGAATGTGTAGTTGAGACTAACTCAACCATACAAAACCGATTTATAAGGTAAAATGTATCACTTTATATAAACTCTTTAAAGAGACTCTATGTCTAACTAGTGTGAGACTTGAAGTCTTTTCAATAACCCACGAAAAGTGGTATGATTTGAGCTTCTCCATTTCATGTTTGTGTCTATATTTCCAAATACTCTTTTGTTCCAGACTGAGAGTCATCTTGAGATGTAGGATATGTTCTTATTGTGGATTCATGATTAACTAAAATAGAATAATAATATGAACAGAGTGTTTGACTGTTATATAACAGATTATTTTGTTCCAAAATTCCATCCAATTATGTAAACGGGGCTTAATCTGGTGTTCTAGGTAAGTTGCGCTCATTTTGTTTTTAAGTGGGTTAGCTGATGTGAATTTGTCCATACAAAAAATCCTCGCAAGATGTTTTATCTTGAGTCTTTTCCTCTTTTTCATGAGCTCTCAAAACAGCATTGAAGTCCCCAGCAAATAGTCACGATTCTTGATGGATTGATTGAATGTGAGATAATTATGTTCATAATTGTCTTCTACTGGTGTAATGATTGTTTGCACGCATTGATGCTAGGTAAATTGTTAAATTGTTAGCACCAATCAGGTTTAACCTGTCATCCTGCGTTATATCTGGCACCTCTACAATATTCGTGTTTTTGTTGTTATACTCTTGTCTAAAGTTACTGATTTTTCATAAAGTATGAGTGCGTACCGGAAATTTAGTAAATATTTACAAAAATACTTGAAATTTTTTATATCTATGAAGAAATACATGATTTACCATTTTTGGTAGAGATCGGTGTGTCCATACCGAAAATTTTGAAAAATCCAGTATATATCAAAAAAATTCCAATAATTTTCGATAGGTAGCGAAGTGTTGAATTTTTTTTTCTTTTTTTGCCATAATTTTGTAAAATAAACAACCCGATAAAATAACTACCCAATAAAATATTTACATAAAATATAAAATGTGTTACATATAGGAATACATAACAAATTATGATGACTATCTAACTTCGTCTTCCTAGTGCCTAAAGCGTCCCACATATGTTACTACTCATTCTCTTGTAGCTTCAATACAGTTTGTCTCCAATGGTTGATGACGGGAAGCAATGGATAATCAAATTTCAACTTTACCTGAACTCAATGATTGTTGTTGACAAAACCAACAACAATGATTTTATGTCTACTCGTATACATAGGTAGAGTTATGACAAGGGGAAAATGTGATGTTAAGTTTCTTGGACATGGAGACAAATATGACATTGTATCTACAAGCAATAGGGTAACCCCTATCATAAGTTGTCATCCATTTGTCCATACACTGCACACGCAAGGTAGCTACTCGCAACACACTCTTAAGCGTAGAGACCATGTCATAGAACAATTTGGAATATACTTGGGTAACACTCATGAGGTTTTTTGAATCTTTGTCTTTCAAAGGAGCAGCTATGTACCTTGGAGTAATATTGTACTTCTTCGTGTCATTCACAAATAGTTCTCATGATCGTTTAGACAACCTAGTATGTCATGACCATCTAAATCCTTAGTTAGTTGATGATTGTGTAACCCGCACCTAACCATCACCTTTCAACTGCTACCACTGGACACAAATCTCAGTCTAAAAGGACATTTAACTTTCACATTATAAATGTCTTATGAGGAATTATTGCTTTCAGAATGTATTCTTTCTTTTGTAGTTTCCTCCTCTCTCACAACTCCTAATCAATTTATCTCTCCTACCTCACATCCCATTTGGGGTATAAGAACGAACAGTGACAACAATAATACCATGTTGTTTTTAATGGAGTGTGTCCATGCTAATACTTCAGAGTGGAAGAAAAATAATTTTCATTTACAACATATAAAAAGTAAACTATCAATATCATAAAGATGAAAAAACCTTTAAATTTTGAACATGTTAAAAAGAAAACATACAGTGTCAATGGTGAAGAAATGTGTATCTATACAGGAATTTGTCAACGAGCCTTCTGGTTCTGAACCGCGCAAGTAAAACATTATTTTGTACTATCAGAGTTTTTGAATGTATGCAAAAAATTTGGTATATCGGAATTTTAGAAATATCATGTGATGTAAGATTCTTATCAGTGTTTTTTAAAATTTCGTTAAGTTTTTTAGTTTTTCAGACACTTATCAGAATTTTCAAATTTCCCGACATTCCTTCATCGATAATTTCAAAAATCCGATAAAATTGTATGTTTTTTCCAAAAATATCAGATTTTCTTATATTTTCGGTATAAATGCGAACATTTTACAAAATGCAGAAAAAAAAACCGTACCGAAAATTTTGTTTTAACTATAAAAAATTTTAAAATTTATAGCTTAGGAAAAGTGAAACTTATTGACCAATTATAATTTTTAGTTGGTAAATAATATAAGGGACATTTTTGTTAATATGCAAATATATAGGGGTGTCATGTATAAAATGGGGGTGGCAAATTAAGTGCTCCACGTTGGATCACATATGCCCATAATAGGGAGAGTTTACGAGAATTTACTTGTCACCCCCCAACTTATGTCTAACACCCTCACATATTTCATTAAATCCAAAACCGTCCTTGGACAAAATTGGATTTTAATGACCAAACAAAAGTTTTGGTAGTTCATTCAAAATTTTTGATATCAATTAAAATTTTCGATAGTTCATTCAAAATTGTCGGTATAGGCTTATACTGTTTTTTTTTCAAATTTCCGGTGTCTTTGAAACATTACCGGTATTTTTAAGAAATACCATGTGATACCAAAAATTTTAACCACACGAAATTTTCGGTAGTGCAAATTTTCAACAGTTACGATTTTGTCGATGATTTTGTACCACTGTGATTGGACTGATTGTTTTATGTGGCCCAAAATGAATCCAAAGTTGTATAAATAGGGGTCATATGTTGTTAAGAAAAACATCTTACAATGCATCTTCCTTAGTTTTTGTTTAAGGCGAAAGTGTACTTCAACAGGGTAAAACCTCATGTAGAGTTTCGGCTTTCGATGGCATCGCAAGTCTCGTCGTCTTGAGATCCAAGTTGAATGATTTGTTCCCCAACACTGAGAATAGAAAGGTGGGTAAGATCAAGTTTCATGTAGACTGGATTGATATTAATGGAAATGTGAAATACAACCTTATTGAGTTAGATATCGATGAAGATTTGAAGGTTAGGTGGAGCACATTTCACTATAGGCTAACTAAGAGACTGATTGAGTTTGATGCGACAATTTCAAGATCCGTCGACGATATAGTCAATATGTTGAAACATCCTGAATCATCTGGAAGTGTCTAGGTTTTGTGATCCTTATTGTTAAGTTATGTTATTTATAATGTGTTAAGTTCCCCACAAACTAATAAACAAAATATAATGTAATAAAAAGTATGGTGCTAAATAGTCAGAGTCACAGAACATACAAATAATACAAATGTAAAATCAAATATCTAAATAGGTCCCCTGCAGGCTATATGTTACGCTTGCGAAAATCCAGTAAAAACCTTACTATGTAGGTTTACCAAACCCATGAGATTATCCATAATAACAGCGATCATTTGCAGGCGTTGCTGGTCATCAACACTAGGTGGAGGCGGCGCCATGTCATTGGCAGGTCCCCTAGCATTGATAGGCACAACATCATCATTTGTATGCTCAACATGTGGGATGATGTGAGGGTGTGATATAGTAAGGTACTACTCCAAGTAACCATCCTCACACTGCACATCATGTTGAACCCTTAATACGTTATCTCTAATGGCACAGTCAGAGTTGATGATGTTACTATGAAACCCCCTGTCAATTCTTGAAGCTCGAACAGCAGGAACCGGCCGTGGGATGCCTTGGACATACCCAAACTGGCACAGACACCTCTTAGGCAATTGTCTTACCACTAAGGTCTCCCACCATATATAACTAGAAAAAAAGACTCATCAGACTCACGATGGACTCTATGATCTGTGTATGGTATCTAGATGACATCCTTTATTATCAATGCATCAAGTCTCCTCATTTTCTCTACAATACCACCTGGACTTTCTTGATTAGCCTTCCATTTCTTCGCCCGGGGGTAGTTAGCAGGGATATTTTGCACCCTTATGTCACAAATGGTTGAAAATACTTGTATATCTGTTGAAAAGTATTTTAGGTGGGTGTTTTATCGTATCCATAGGGATTGTACGCAAGATATATCGATGCTTGTCGTTCAATAGTTTAATGTTCTAAGTTAAGAGTTTTCAAAAGATTTCTTATTTTGTAACATAAGTTTGTTGCAAAGAGTAAATTAGGGCAAAGATGTTTTGTTTCAAGAAAAGCATGTCAAGATTAGATTTCGCTAGTCCTTT